CACTATGCTTCTCGCCTTCTACCCGTCAAGTTCCTCTTGTATTTGATACCCACAACATTTTGTGTTGTTTGCCTTATGATCGATAAGCGTAATAAGCATAAAACTTTAAAAAAGTGACAAAAAAATAAATAAATAAAAGTTTATCACTTGTAATTGTGTGTATGTGGGGAATGGTTGATTTTCCCCATTTTTGCGTGTAAAGAGTAGACTGCCTCGTAATGCAAATGTGGAAAATTTCAATTTTCTAACTTTTTCTAATTTCTGAATGACGAGCAATACCCGCACAAATCCTTGTTAAGAAAAACGGAATGGCGTTCAGTTTATGCTCCACTGCGGGCATCTGCTGTGACCGATTCGGATCATTTTCAATAGCAACATGCGTGCAAAAAACTTCCAAGGTTTTTACCAAAATTTAATGTCGATATCTTTCTTTTTTGCGACCGAGAGAGTGCTAACAACACACACCACACCACACAGACGGACCGACATGGCTAAATCAATTGAGAATGTGACGCCGATCAAGAATAAATATATAAATATATTTTATAGGATCGTTGAAGCTTCCGTTTGGGTACTGCACACACACATTAGAGAAAAAAAATAGAACGAGCATACCCCATCTTACAGTGGTGGGTATATAAAAAAAAAGAAGAGTCATTTTATTTACACGCTTTTTTTTGCTACACAATGGCGCAAGACTTTTTAGATATACTGATTTTTGCGTGATTGGCGAGCATTTGGATAAAAAAAAGTTTAATTTGTCATTGAAAAGAAGTCACTCTTTATATCCTACGCTACTTGGTATATTAAATTAGTGCGGACATATGTAACAGGCAGGAGGGCTTAAGGTAGATCCAACTTTTATTATATCGAACGATGTAGAATTATAATCTGAATTGATCTAAGCCTGGTCTGTCCGTCTGATGTCTGTCCATGGAAATTTGATTCGCAATTTTTGAGTTATTCCGATGAAAAATCCTATGTTCTTCTCTACAGGATATTATTACATAACGGTATTGTAAAGCGTTACGTGTCGTTTTTAAAAATTGTCTTTCGATTAAAACGCTTTTAAAATCTTGTCAACATAATTTTTATAATTTTCTTTCTTATCAGCTAGTGCAACATCCCAAGACCACAGCAACAACTCTTCCATATTCACGCTCTTTTAATACTGATTTTATGCTCGAAAGTGCGGTTTTTTGCGCATCCCCAAGAGAAAATCGCTCGCCTTACCATTTGCATGTTGCGAAACGCTAGAGAGAAGCATCAGAAAATTTAAAAATCTATAAACGAATTCATAATGCATTTCAAAATCTTTATACCAAATAATTCCCAGCACTGAGGCTGATCTCAGCGTCATGCTTTAGCCTCTATTCGAATGCGCATCTAATATATTTTTATTTGGACATCTGTTAGTGATTTAGAGAAGTTGGAAATTCACAGATAAGACACTGGGTTACAACTTCTCAGTAGGAATTCATTTGACCGCAACATTCTTTTTAGAGAGTTGTAGGGAAAGGTACGATATATTAAAGAGAAAAAATTTTTCCACCTAATGAATTATTTAATTATTTTCTCCATATTCTATTTTGAGGCCTATTTTCGTATAAACGTTCCCAGTGAAAATAAGACTTTAGCTCGCCAGAAGAGCGAATTTTTAGCATTTCGTACTAAACTCTCCTCTTATATAAGTGGGTCTTATGAAAACTAAGCAAGATTAACTAATACTTTGTATTTCACCTGTATATATATATAAATATGTATATATAGATATTATTGCATTACACGAACTCATGTAGGGTACAGAAGTTTTTGACTTTTTCCATTTTTATAGCGGACAGAAAGATGGCATCATGAAATCAACTTGAAACAGGCAAGAACACTATAGTCGGGAAGGGGAGACTTTTAGGCACCGTATATCATTTCGCATAAAACCGTTATTCACTCTTTATGGTAATAATATACCACAATTTTGCACGTTATCTCTATCCAAAGGCATAATCTTCATGAAAGCCTGCATATTGGAGAAATTCGTATATGCGGTGATATCCAAAAAAAAAGACCTACTTGGTCCAGATTAGGTAAGGTTGATTTCCATGCCAATTTAATATAATGAACATATTTTCACCATGAAATATTAAAAATTACACCTTTTTACTGCATAAAGATTCATTTGTCGTAGGAGCGGTTTTATGAGGGAGAGTTCAAAAAATTACGTCAATCGCATCGAATTTTTTATACCAATTTAGAATGTCCAAATACTATTACAGAATGAGTTTTGTCGAGAAATTTTGAAAATTGCAGTTTTTTTTTCCATACAACAATTTTAAGAATGGAAGAGTGATCCGAACCATTTTCAAAGGCGTTCGGCCTTGGGCCAAAACATGTCACTGCACTAAATTTCATCAAAATATCTCATAAAATGCGATCTGTAGCTTGAACACAAATTCACATGGACAGACATCAGACGGACAGAGACAAGCTTGGTTCAATTCAGAAAACGATTCTGATCGAAAGGTATAATAAAAGTTGGATTTTTCTTAAGCACTTTTTCGTGTTACATACGTACGCACAAACTTAATATATTATCTGTACCACAAGTGTGTGGGTGTGGGGTATAAAGATGAGCCAAACAAGTATTTGCTAAGTAATTTATGCGATATTTTATATATATTCCGGGAGAGAAATAAATTCGAGCAAACCTAACAAGTTATGGTTATAGCACTTTGTCTAGGATTATGATGACTGACTGACGCAGTGATTGGCATTCTCAGTCGAATTTTTAATCTTAATTTTGCAATTAAGTCCTGATGACATAATAATCTATAGGAACCTCGTCATCCTCCTTCAATGTTCGAATTCGAGCTTAATCGAGATTATGCTACTTATATAGCATGGCAAAGAACGTATAAGGCCACCTTGATCATAGCTCAAATAGGAAACTACAGTTGGCTGTCAATAAATGTATCAGATACCAGTCTTCAATAAGAGTAAATATGACATACGATATATGAATATCGTAAGTGATCGTGAAAGATTTTAGATTTTAATCTTCCATCATTTCTTCATATGAGAAATGCGATCTTTGTTCGTCAACCTATTTATTTATACTTGTCCACCGGAATACCTACATAAGAAAATCCAATTCGTTAGATCCACACGTGCGATGAATTTAATTCGTCCCGATAATAAGTATTTAAGACCATTGAGACTATTTCTTTTATAATAGTGTGAAGCTCGTTACCTTTTAGTATCAAAGCTATTGTTAATGTGGATAGATTTAGAATTGCGATCAGGATTTCCTAAAATTCTGAATATGGTTAGTGTTATTATGCACTGATCTGCTTAATTTTTTCATTGTACCTTTCTGCACTTGAGCTATTTTAATTCCACTGTTGTTGTATTACTTGTGCCAAATGTCAATAAACGATTGAATTTCATGATGAATTAATCGATTGAGCTAATAAAACTTAATTCGACCTTTTCTTGGTGAGAAAGTTCCATCAAAATATCTTATATAAGTTTTTAACCTTTAAAGATTCTAAATAGATTTCGTTATGGGCCTTTGTGTGTTCGGTCGATCATTCGCAAGAAAACTTGAAATGACACACAGCTGTGATGAAGGTACCATCGCATTAAGCAATTGCGAGATACTCTTGATACCACACTTATATTATGAAATCATCCATTCAACGAAAGAAAAAAAGAGAGTAAATGAGAAAAATACCGTACACCACCGCAAAAGTTATTCATATAATAACTGCTCAAAATAAGGCGTCATATTGTAAGCGATCGAAAACGTGGTCCTTGGGTCAAGACACATCATTGTATCAAATTTCATCAATATATCTGAAAAATTGCGTCGCGTAGGTTGAACAAAAGAAAAGACGGTAGACAGATGGACAGACAGACTTAGATGAATTCAGAATGTGTCACTCAATCGTTCGATGTAATGAAAGATGAGTCCATCTCAAGTCCTTCTGGCCGTTGCACAACCGCACATACTTAATATACTCTTATGCAACCAATGGTCTTGGGTATAGAAAGCCTCTACATTAATAAGTAAATCTAAATCGGATAAGGGGAAAAAAAACTTATAATGGGCCTAGATTTTCCAAATTTCATAGAGTTAATTTGTTTGTGTTAAATAACTATTATGATATAATTCTCATCATAAAGCATTTTGTCATATGGACTTCAGTTTTCACTTATATAAGAGGGGTTTCAAAAATTGTCACAGCCGGTTTAGCGTTTTCATATCAATTTATAATGCCGAAATACTACTACTTGGCCACTTTTGCCGAGAAATTTCGAAGAATGCAATTTTTTCCCATATAATGACTTTTCACAACAGGGTGTTACATGTCGAGTTGTCGAAAAAGTCGATCGATCCGAATCATTTTCATTAGTATTCGTCCTTGAATCAAAAAAGTTTTCTGTACAAAATTTCATCAACACATCTCAAAAATTAGTACGTGTAGCATGAACACAAATCGACATGCACCGACATCAGACATATAGACGGACAGACAGGCTCCTATCAATTCAGTTTATGATTCTGAATCGATTGGTATAATAAAAGACGGGACTATCTTAAGTCCTTCTGCGTGTTATATGCGTTCGCACTTAATATTAATATACCCTCTGCCCCACCAGCGGTGTAGGGTGTAAAAATATTAAATCACGAATCTGTCTACCAAAAAAAAAAAAAATCGAAAAACACTTACTTACTAATATCTTACCATACATTTGTTATGTACTTTGCTAGCTGTGGGCGATTTCCATGCCTTCGGCCAGGTATCCTCTCGCTTACTTACTGCAATACTTTGAATTTAACTTTTCTGAGCGCGTAAAGCCATTGCAAACTAACATCATGCTGGATCAAGTGTTCGGCTTTACTCACTTCTTGTAAATCAATAATTTTTGCCTTAGGGAAAAAAAAATAGATAGAGTTTTTTAATTCTGGTAATAAAAAGAAATATTTTTTGCAAATGTTTCAGTACGAAATTGTCGGGAACGTTGGCGTACAATACGTAGCAGTTTCTTGCGATCGTTGAAACTATCACGTACCAGTACTGGCCGCGGTAAACGTAAATACTATCTGTCCAAATATTTGCAATTCCTTATACCCTATACGAAAACGCGATTAAAGAATAGCGCTAGCATTATAGCCCAACGTAAAGCAGCAGCCCAGGGCAATATACCGAGTCCACCGCCTATGACACGGATTAGCAATATGCCGATGCCGGTGGTGAGTAGTGATGAAACCAAAGATTCAAGTAATTCAACGGAAGTAGCGGCCATAGCAGAAGGAGATGTCGTCGTATCGTTGCATGAGGGCGCAGCCATGATAGCCAATCTTAGCATGAGTGGGCAACATGCACCAATACCTTTACCACAGCCACTGCCACGTTTGCATGCCATCAAACAAGAGCAAGATATAATAAATGCTAACCAAGCTAATGTTGCAGCGTCTGCCAATTTATCGTCAACATCGGATTTGCAACGAAGATTTGGCAGCATATTGGGCGGTGGCTCGAATACAGGGCACATTAGCAGCACAAATAATCATAATTCAGCCTCGGCCACCAATCCGGCATTGAATGGTAGCGGCTGTAGTGGTACCGGTGGCGGTGGTAATGCTGGTGGTAATAGTAGTGGTGGAAATGTTTGCGTTAGTGGTAGCGGTTCTTTCCCACCAGCGGAACAACAGCGTAGTACAAGTACCGTCCCTGCTGTTGATTTAACCGAATTTGCCGAATGGATTAAATGTAAGCATGAACATCAGCGCCACTGTTTAATGACCGGCACAAGCAGCAGCAATACTAACACTATTACGACTACAACCACTCATAACCATAGCAACAGTAACCACCAAAACAACAATGCACCAGATGCTGATCAATCGTTTCTAAATAGTTTGCATCCGTTTTTGAAGGAAATGTCGGGCAAACAAAATCGCCGATTTCGTCAAAAGGTTGTGGCCTTAATCGATGCCATATTAGATAATACAGATTGAAGCCATAATTTGCAAACAACACCGCATCCATGAACATAGACATGCACATATATGTATAATTATTCTCACTATACCGTATAATCTGTAAATTTTTCTTCCTTTTTTTTTTTTATTTTTTTTTATTTTTATCTTTTTCTTCATTTTAATGTAATTTTAAATTTAAAAAAATAATACATAATATTATCTACCATACGTTAGTAATGCTTTTTTGTAGGAAAAGAAAACGCAAGGGAATGAAATGGTTTTCATAAATTGTTAAAATATACTTTATTGTTAAATTTTGTTGTTTTTGTAATTTTTAACAAGTATTTCAAGATACCACTTGTATCTCTGATATCCTCACTTATAAATGTTTATATATATATATATATATATATATATATATATATGATTATCACAATACATTTGTAAATGAAATGTGCTTTATTTTGCTAAAAAAACACAAAAAAAAAAAAAAACAAAAGAAAAAAAATACAAAAAAAAAACAGGACTAAACAACAACACTTAAGAAAAACAAAATAATCGCTTATTTCATTTAAAATGGAGGATAAAGTATTAAAAAAGATGAAACGACTGTAAACACTTAAGAGGAAAGAGTATAGATTAGAAGAAAAAACAAAAAAAATATATAAAATAATGAAATATTTTTTACCACCTAATTAAACCCACATGGGCTCTATAATAAAAAAATTTCTTCTTTCAATGTTCACTAAAAAATTTATATCAGTCGCACGAGCAGTAATAATGCAATGGCAATATGAAGACTGATAATACAAAAATATAGCAATAGATATAGAAAAGAGGGCCGTAGCAAAAGAATAGCAACAGAAGAGTTGCAAGAGAAGAATAGCAGCAATGGAATATGAATAGAAATTGTTATAAGATAATCATAAAAAACAGCAATAGATTGAAAATAAGTTGGGTCGGTCCACTTTTTCGGTCACTTCCAATGTAAATGGTGTAAAGTAATTAACGACAAACTCTGTTCCACTTCACTTGTCTTCACTTGTCATATCCGTGAACAGAGGTTGGGCATAAATTAATTTTGCAGCTCCATGCGTAGTTATAATAGATACGTAAAATGAGATCCATTATCGTTGATCAGTTTCAGATTTTAAGTTGACTTGATTATTGTATTTTTTTTTTGTCTCATGTTTAATTGCAACAGTCAAAGACGCTTAAGTTATTAAGTTACTATTAGATCCGTGATGAAAGCTATATACTCTATATTTGAGATTTTTACGCAAGCAATTGTTATAATACACATACGTACAATTTTACGTCATTTTCTCTTCTTTTTTTTTTTTTTTTTTGGTTTTCTTGAAAGCACGGAAAGGTTCATGTCCAGAAATTGCAACACCTTTTGACCGACTGATTTATAGAGAAGAGAAATATTGGGGAATATCATTAAAGGTAGTCGGGTTAAACGTGACGCACATCTCGACTATAACAGGAATAGTTGTAGTCCGAGCTCTTGAAATGGTTTCCATATTTTTTTATTTCGTTCGAAAGCTTAGCTCGACTGACGCTATGAAAAGTTGGTAAACACGCTGTATGTAATGCCCAGCTTGGAAGGCTGAAGAAGTGCTTTTGCAATTCGTATTTCTTATAAAATAGGAATGGTTTCCAAAGCAACCAAGGGCAGATAAGGCAACGGTGTTTGAAGTAAGAAACGTGCCGATCTTTTTTTTTTGGACGTCTTTCGTGCCATATGTTATGGCAAACTTTTGAATTATCGAGGAAAGAAGATCTGATCTTTTGATACGAAGGCTATCTTTTTAAAAAGGACAATGCGATACACTTCTTCAGTTGTATTGTGGCATTGTCTAAATCTAAATTAACTTCGTTGTATTACTTGATATGTAAAATTCAAGCCGATATTACCCCTCAGATAACCCAGATAACATTACATGAAGGGGACATAATGCACAATGCCTGGGATTGCATCTTTTTTCTAGCTTGGACAAGTTGTGTGCATTCTTCGGAGAGGCGTCTTCCCATGCCTGGACGATCCATCGTATCCACATTGAAAATACAAAGTGGATCTATTTTGAGAATTCTAACCCTAAAAATTTATAGATAAATCCAGGCGTATCGTTCATATCGATTGCGAGACTGAATTGCTTTGACAGGAAGACGATATTCTCTGTTTACTGAAAGCTGTTACAGTCTGTTGAGAGCGTTATATATATCAAACAGTGATGATATCTCACTAAAAGTCAGCAGAAGGTGATTTTTTTACATGACATTGCATTCATTCCATTCAATCATCCATTCGCCTTAGAATCACTCAACTGGGCAGTGCTAGGACATTCGAATGACTCGAGGACGGCTTTACTTCATACAAAAGCATCTTGAAGGCCGAACTAAAAAGAGTAATAGTTAAGGAGTAATAGTGTCTTGACTGGCATTCACAAATTGCCAAAGGAGCGATACTTTGCACAAAATCCTTTACTTTAACGAACATGTATTTTCTATATAAAAATTACGGCTTCATCATCATACTACTCGGTATATTGGAACCATTTAACTAGAGAGTAATACTGTCGATTAGAAGTCTTCTAAACAGCTTGGAGGTGATCGATAGTAAGCTTATGAATCGATAGCAGGATACTTGGCGTTTTTCTTGTCCACTCTAATTTGAACGGTATATTATTGTATCATCGGAAGAATTATTTTTGCTAACAATTTATGGAAAAACTATTAAAAACATTAATCCATGCACCACAACTGAATGTTTAAACAAATAGCAAAGCAATGAAACCCATTCGAAATATATATATATATATATATATATATATATATATATATGTGTGTGTGTGTAGTTTTCGCAAACGAGTAAAGTATTAATTGTGACACACACACACACATCATGCTGTAACGCAATAACCGATTACCCATTTGTCAATCTAAACTAATTTATCGAAAGGTAAGCAATCTTTTCTCTGGCGTTCTTACGGTAAATGACAATCAAGTGCTATCATTAAGCAATTCATCGAATAATCCTTCATTATGAAACAAATTATTTCCCCATAATTTATCTACGCTTCGCCGCAAACACATCAAATCCTATTCGTAGTTAACACAAAATACAAGATGAAGAAAAGAAGATGAAAGAAAACCTAAAGTCAAGAAAAGAATTTTCTATTCGAACGAACACAAAATCGCGATAATCGAGACTAATTTTAATGAAACATTTTTCTTTCCACCTTACGCAACAAAAAAAAAAAAAAAAAAAACCTTCGTCACGCGAACAAACGATTCCAGTTCGTTCTCTTGCTCTGCTTTCGATATTTTGGAAAGCGAACCACATCAACATTGGGGTCAAGCCATTTTCGGTCAAAGGGCTAACGTTTAATAAGCAGTATTTCGCAGTATTTCTCTACACTCGCCTGTATCTGTCAACTTTTTGATTCGATATCGTGACCTAATACATGTATCATAAATTTTCTGTTGCAAACTGGTGAACACTTAAATTTTAAGCGCTTATCTTAATCTAATAGATGCTAGACCATAACGTTACCACTACTGCGTTACGGTTACTATGGTAAGGGCCACTGAAGTTTACGTGCAAATATTCAATGCCTGGCGCGGGCATAAGATATGCTTTTTATTATACCAGTCAATCCAGGTAATGACTCTGCATAGATATAATAATCTTTGTCCGTCCATCTGTCTCACATTTGTTTACGTATTCTTGTATTCTCCTTAGAAGCAATCATTTACTGCATTGACGTACTGTGGGCCAAGAAACAAATCTTATTGAAAATGACTTTCATGCGTTGGTTCTGGAGGGTAGAGTGCAGAGTATTTTGGTGTTACAGTGTTGTTTAAACTTAAAAACACTTACTTTTTTCCCTCTCTTTAATTCTCTTTCCGGATACTATACACGATTTATGTATATCGATCAAACGCTTTTGAGTCATGTTGTTGCCATCAAATGCAACATTACCTAGCGGCAGTTGTTGTTAAAAGTTTCAAACAAATTGAATGCAATTTCTCTCATCCCCATCGTTAACCCCAATCGGATCATGTGAATTCATTTGAATTTTGAACTTAAATTTTTTTATTTCTTCTTTACATTAAATTAACAAATAATACTAAAAATATATATATATATATATATATTTATAAGTTTACAGTTACCCATGATGTGAAAATTAAACGTTTGCGTTTGTTTAATGAAATTTTATAACGATGAGCCGTACGGAATCGATCCAAAAATTTTGGATAGAGCTGCGTTAAAGGACCCGAGAATATCGCATCGGAACTACAAGAACTACAGTGAAAACATTTCATGATACTTACTTGACGAGCCATGAATTGAAGCAATGCTTTGTAATGTGTGTTGTTGTAAACTTTTCTGCTGATCGCAAAAATGAAGCTATCGGCTTCACATTTAATACAAAGTTTGGAGGTTCTTGCCTGCAAGTTGGCGTTATTATTATTATTATTATTATTATTATAATTTTAGACTAATGAAATAAATTCATAGACTAAAAAAATAGACATTGACCAGTAGCAGCATAGGCTATCGGCTCTAATATAAATAAATATATATTAGATAATGAGCTTAGTAGTAGTATTAATAAAGAAATATATATATATACAATTGATATTCGATTCTGAAGCTGATTTCAGAATGTCCAAAGGGTTAGTCGTTCCAAATGCAATTCGTCTAGCCAAGGAAAAGTTAAGGCAGTCGCAGAGAATGTGCTTTATAGTAGTGAGAGTTTGTTCACAACTGCAGATTGGGGAGTAAGACTTCTTCAAGATCGATTGGTGGACGTTGAAAACACCAATCGACTTGGAATTACTTTCTGAGTCCTTCTAAACTTACTTGTCCGTTTATTTTTCTTGTTTTGTCATGTTCAACCTACAGATCGCAGTTTTTCCAATGATCTGTTACACTGACATGCTTTGTGTCAAGGACGAACGTACACTATTGAAAATGATTTGGATTTGAGCAATTTTTCGATAACTTCCGATATATAATGCATTTTCTGGTTAAATAAATCCTTATATGAATTATAATGCAAGGTATGTTATAGTCGACCACGGCCCACTCTAGTCCTTTTTGCGTGTTTTATTTGTAAAGTTATTTTCATTTTTACATATATGGTCTAACGCATTATATATTGTAAAGAAAATTCCTGTCCAAGGTATAAGACACTTTTCCGGCTATCAGCCTGTGAAGGTTATTGTGACATCATATATGTTATTAAAATGAGATGTGATCCAATCAGGGTTAACAATAATGTAAATCTTTGAAAATTAGATAATGATTTGCTTTTTGATTCTTTGAAGAATGCAAATGATTCATTATGTCCATGGTACCGTTATGATCCCGGC